AAGCGCATCCGCTACTTCGATCCGCTCCGCAACGAGTACTTCTTCGACCGCAACCGGCCCAGCTTCGACGGGATCCTCTACTTCTATCAGTCCGGGGGCAAGCTCCGCCGGCCCGTCAATGTCTCCATCGACGTCTTCGCCGATGAGATCCGCTTCTACCAGTTGGGTGAGGAGGCCATGGAGCGCTTCCGGGAGGACGAGGGCTTCATCAAAGAGGAGGAGAAGCCTCTGCCCCGCCATGGTCAGGTCTGGCTCATCTTTGAGTACCCCGAGAGCTCCAGCTCAGCCCGGGCCATCGCCATCGTCTCTGTCCTGGTCATCCTCATCTCCATCATCACCTTCTGCCTGGAGACGCTGCCGGAATTCAGGGACGAGAGGGAGATGCCCATGCCCCTGCCCCCACAAAGTGGAGGCCTGAATGGCACAACCGGGGACTCCCCACCCATGCAGCCACCCAGTAGCCTCTCTGACCCCTTCTTCATCATCGAGACCACCTGTGTGATCTGGTTCACCTTTGAGCTCCTCGTCCGCTTCTTCGCCTGCCCCAGCAAGCCCGAGTTCTCCCGCAACATCATGAACATCATCGACATCGTGGCCATCATCCCCTACTTCATCACCCTGGGCACCGAGCTGGCCCATGAGCAGCAGCAGCCTGGGGCTGGTGGTAGCAATGGGGGCGGGGGCCAGCAGCAAGCCATGTCACTGGCCATCCTCAGAGTCATCCGCCTGGTCAGAGTCTTCAGGATCTTCAAGCTCTCAAGGCACTCCAAGGGGCTGCAGATCTTGGGACAGACTTTGAAAGCCAGCATGAGGGAACTGGGCCTCCTCATCTTCTTTCTCTTCATCGGGGTGATCCTCTTCTCCAGTGCTGTCTACTTTGCTGAGGCCGATGACCCGGAATCTCATTTCTCCAGCATCCCTGATGCTTTCTGGTGGGCGGTGGTAACCATGACCACCGTGGGCTATGGTGATATGCGACCTGTCACCGTGGGGGGCAAGATTGTGGGTTCCTTGTGTGCCATCGCGGGTGTGCTCACCATTGCCCTGCCCGTCCCCGTCATTGTGTCCAACTTCAACTACTTCTACCACCGAGAGACTGATCACGAAGAGCAAGCTATCCTCAAAGATGAACACAGTAGTGCTCAGGGCAGCACAGCGGGGGGAGATGCAAAGAGAAGATCCAGTAGAAACTCTCTGAACAAATCTGTTGTGCACTTGGAAAACAGTGAGGGGTTCAACAATGGCACCAGCTCCTTAGAGAAAACCAATATCAAAGCGAAAAGTAACGTAGATCTCAGAAAATCGCTCTATGCTCTCTGTCTGGACACCAATAGGGAAACAGACCTGTAAGGAGAGGCGAGAGGTAGAGGTCAGAGATGCCGAAGGATTTGCTGGTGTCAGAAACTTGCTACTAGAATTATTCTTTTGGTACCAATTAGTTTTTTTAATCAGGCTATATTTTATAAATTGATCACTGTCCTGAGTAGTTCCTCCAAGAATACATGGTTTTATGTTCTTTTTCCATGACACAAAGGGTCACCTATTTTTAAAATAGACTAAGAATAAGCTACGCTCCATGATGCAGGAGCTGGTAAATGATGATAGTGCGAAATCTAATTTGTAGAAACTTATCTTAGCAAACGGTAGTTGGTTTTAAATGGGTCGTTTGTAACCAATTCAGTTGCTCCAAGTTTAGTATTAAAGAGTTGGGGGATGTGTGTGCGGAGAATGAATGGATTTGGGGCGGAGGGAGGCTGAGGTTTTTTGTACTGTAGTTTCAAATTGAAATTATTCCAATATATTTTATATCTGTATAACTGTATTTATGGTTGAAAGGGGATTTCTTACTCCTGTGAAATAGGACATCGTTAAAGCACTAGAAACATTAGCAGATCGGCACTTTCAGAGTTTTCCACTTGTGATCAGTACAGATCTGGTTATCTAGTATGTGAAGTGAATTTGGTGCTTTTAACCCTATAGCAGAAAACTTTTATTGTCATTGATATGTTAGTTTCTTGTGAGCCTTAAATTATTAAATATTGTAGATATACTTCTTTATAAATAATTTTATTAATTACCTTACTGTTTCAGAATTTCTAAATAATTCAGTCCTGTGCTTACTGTCCTCCCTCAAAAAAATGTATGTGCAGCTTCTTTTTCGTTGTTGTTTTTAGTTTTACATTTTTATACCTTCATTATATTTTTGAGACCGAAAGAAAAAAATTATTGTCTGCTGTTCCTGGTTTCGATCCAAGTGCACAACAGATCAAAAACATGAGGGAGTGGATAGACAAAATAAGAAAGTAGGATATGAGTGCAATATCTGCAAAACTATTTTCATTGTACACTCCAGATTATTTTGGCATGTTTATGAGTCACCTTTATGTATCCATACCATTTGTGTACACAGTTCACTGGTTTTAATTGTCATAGACTGGAAGTGGACGGCACTTAAGGAGTCTGACATGGCATGCCGTGCTACTTAAATAACCATTGCGTGGCTTATATCTTGGACTCAGACGGAAAGCATCACCTTTCATCAAAACACATCCTTTTTTTCTTTTATTTCCAAACAAAACCTTTTCAGTGCTGTGGATTTTACAGTTAAGATGTTGTTGAAAGACGAATGACACGTTACCTTCATTGTGATAACATGGCACTGTACAGCTTGCTAGTGAAGACTGGCACAAAGTTGCTTCTTTAACTCAAAGGGCTGTGTTATCATTTTTCTTGCAAAGGACATCTCTGTTTTTCCCTCAAACTTCTGTTTTATTGCTGACGGATGTTTCATGCCTTTACCGTGTACAGTGGCACAGCAAGACTAGCAGAAAGAGAAGTCTTGATTGTCAACGCTCAAGGTTTGTTTCTCACAAATTTTCTAATACGACTAAGTAAATACTAAGTCAGGATTATAATTTATGCAAGTACCTCAGATCTATGTACTGTGATAAATTTAAATCAGCTTTGCAAAACGGCGCTTTGACGTTCTCTTGTCCAGGCACAAATTCTGCTTACCCGTCCCTTACCATGCCGTTTAATGATAATGACCAAACGCTTGATGTTTTTTTTTCCTTCCTTATTCAGTAAACCAGGCATGGTAAGTGCCAAGCAAGTAGTATTTTTCATGTTTGATATAAAGAACTGTCACACAGAGCTCAGCCCAAAACCCAGGGGTGAGGGGGAAGGAGGTTGAATCTGATAATAAAGAACAGGATCTTTCACATTCATTTTAGATGCTGGTTTCTTGGTTGGTTTGCTGGTTTATTTAGATGGGAAATGATGTTATAATATGCTGAGAAACTGTCTGCAACTAGACTGAGAGACAAAGTGCCCAGTCCAGCTGCACTCCAGACTCGGGCATATCTCATTTGCGTTACTGGGAGTTTTTGCATCAAGGTGAAGTGCAGAATTAGCCCTTCGGTGAGGCTGAATCTCAAATGAAACAAAGAAGTGGTGTAACTGCCTGTTGCACATACTGAGATCTAGGTCACTGATGGACTTACAGTGAAGTTTTTTGCTCAGGCAAGCAGTTTGGTTTCCTTTCAGTGATTAAATCCGACTCACTTGAATAAGTACCAAACAATTCAGTGAGTCTGTCAGGATAAAATTTTGGTTGTGTCTTTAACTACTACCCCCACCTTCCTGACCACTTTTATCTTCCATAGTTTGTTCTTCCACTCGCACATTGTGCTGAATTAGACTATCATCGGCTCCTCAGAGCCGGGCGAATGTGTAGATAACAGTTTCTTGTTTAACAGTGGAACCCTGCTTATGGCCAGGACTTCTGGATATTAATGGTCTGTATACATAACAGTAATTATTGCAATTAGTGGAGTAACACCGGTGTAAACTTGATGTAGTTGAAAGCAGATCAGGGCTAGTGGGTAGAGGTTGAGCTGATCTTAAAAGCCCATTACTTTTAAAAAAGAAGGCCTTGTCGTCCTCTTTCCTTTTCAGTTGTCTTCCTCCCATTGTGTGCCCTTTTGTTGCTTACCCTGAACTGGTTCTGTCCTTGTGCAAGTGCTGCCTTCTCTTCCAGGAGCTGCTTGAGCTCACTAATCTGGCAGAAAATCCAATGCAGCAATTGCTCGGATTTTTTTCTGTCAAATTGGTGAATTGGAAAACAAGTGAGTGCCAAAGCCAGTGCAAGGAAGGGATGGGGAAGGTCAGTGGTGCAGGGAAGTGAGGAAGCAGGGAGGAGTGAAATCCTCATCCTTCAGTGACAGTGAACTCTTGGATTATCACGACTGGTTGTTGAAGCCTACTTGTGTTTGCAGAGATACCACAGGACGTGGTCTTACAAGGTGCTGGGGGCCTTTAACCTCCCATCGCAGCCAGTCTGCAAAATTCAGTTCTGGATTCCAGCGTGTGTGCCCCGCTATAACTGGGAGTAGAATTTGTCCCAAACAAGGTCAAGCTCTGGGAGAGCAAAATAACCCTGATTGCTGCACAGGGTTCTATGCAAGCTTGTCAAATCATTCCTTGACCTTTGGTTTGAACATGTTGCATTTTTCCATAATAAAAGAGAACTTTCCAATAAAAAGAAAACCAATTATTCTCAAAATATGGTTGAAAATATTTGTTTGGCTTGGCTTTCTAAACAGTTGTCAAGCACGGTTCAGGCAAACTCAGCTTTGACACCTTCTTTCCAAGGGTGCATAATTTCTGGGTTTTTTTTATAAGGCAATAGAGAATTTGCTTTCTAATGAAAGAGTTTGCTGTCAGACATGGAGTAATACAACCAAAACATGGTTAAATCACAGTTCAGCAAAGTGCTTAGCATAGGTTCAGCTTTAAGCACATGCTTAAGTAAAGCATCGTTC